TTACACTATCCTCATTTTTTTGGATTCTTTTTTCTTTTTGCTGTTCTGATTGGGCATTTTTTGCTTCCTTATATTCCAAATCCATGGTTTGCTCCTTGGATTTACATACTCTATTATTGAAGCTGTGTAAATTATTCTTTATTTCAGTTAATATCTCCTTCAATTCTAACTGTGTATCCATGATTTCTGACTGGTCCTTTTTTATGCTCTTGAGGCCCTCCCTAAGTTCACTGAGGTTCTCACTGAGTTCATTGAGCATCCTTATAAGCAGTATTTTGAACTCAGTATCTGTTAGGTTGCTTATCTCCCTTTTGCTTAGTTCTTTTATTGGGGTTTTGTTCTGTTCTTTCATTTGGGACCTGTTTCTTTGTCTCCTCATTTTGGCTGCCTCCCTGTGTTTGTTTCAGTGTATTACTTAATGAGAGGTATGGGGCTCGCTGAGACCAGATGCTGCTCATTTGAAAGAATTTAGGAAAAACCTGAAGCAGGATCCAAGACCGGTCAATCCTATGGTTAAGCAAGTGGCAACAGCTTGGGTGGGCTTGAAAGTTGGGTGGGCTTGAAATTTGGGTGGGCTTGAAAGTTGGGTGGGCTTGAAAGTTGTGTGGGGTGGGGCGGGGCCTCAGGGAGTCAGCAGGGTGGGGCTACCAGTGTGAGCCAGGTTGCTGGAGTCCCAGATATGGCAACTGTCTGCCGCCCCCGGGAAGGGCTCACCAAAGGAACAAAGGCCTCTTACAGTACGTTTGTCCCCAGAAAGCCCCCTCTCCAACCCTTGCTCCAGTGCCAGACAGCTCAGCTCTTCCCTGTATGACTCTGGTGCCAAGAGGGGCATTGTTTTGATTTTGCATCACACATATTTCTTGCCACGCCACAATCTCCCATGCATGGGTCCTTGGAATGCTTCCCTCACAATCCTGTGGAAGAGGCTGATTTCCACCCACAACACTTTGAGCAGAGTACCGAAGGATGACTGAGCAGGCTGAGACTGGGGGTGGGGTGAGAGGTGGATTGAGTATGAAAGCATATTTGACGTACAGTAGAACCTTGCTTCTTGAACTTAATTCATTCCAGGAGGCTGTTGGAAAACGACATAATTTTTCCCACTAGAAATAATGTGAATTGAATTAATCCTTTCCAGACCCCTAAAAGCAAACAAACAAACAAACAAACAAATCCATGAAAATATTCACAGCACAATTTCCTGAAATATTAACAATGTGAGGTTTAGTGACAAACTAACTCATACTCACACATTCCCTCCTTTGTCACCTAGAGACATGTGACTGTTCATACAGGTATCAGCACGAAAGGGTTATCAGGTCGCGAACTAAAGTTTGTTTGACAACCAAGACATTTTTTCCATGAACAACTTGGATGAGAACTGAATTGTTTGGGCTGGGAAACATTTGAGGTTTGACTGTAAAGGGAAATAGTGTGTATACAAGAGTCCTGAGATGGGAAGAAGCTCAGGGTATTGGAGGAAGTGAGAGAATACTAGTGTGTCTGGGGCCAGGGACACTAGAAATGTATGAGGTGGGCCTGGTATTGTGCAGAGAGATCAGACCTAACAGACCAACAGTTGGATACACCAAAGTAGGCATTATTGCTAAAGTTAATGGGAAGACATAGAAGGGTTTTAATTAAGAGAAATTATTAGATATGTATTTTTATAAGATCTTTTTGGCAACTGAGGAGAATTAAGAGATATAAGAGTGGATGTGGAGAAGTGATGGGGGAGTATTGTTTTTTCTATTATAGTATTTGATGAGAAACAAAGAACTAATTATTAGAAAAATGGTTGCTTTTGCACTTTGGACAGAGAGAGCTTATTCTCCAAGAATCTAAGAAATGGCAGGGGTAGTTAGTGGAATAAGCTCAGCAGAAAGTGTAGGAGTCTTATTTTCCTAGTTGTTTGGTCTAAGACTAGCTAAATATCAGGTATAGAGAGTGGATGGCTCTGGAAGGGCTGTGTGTCATTGGCACTTTTATAATTGGAGTTGTTTAAGTTTGCAAGTAAAATTTGTAATTTGAAGTGATGGCAAGCCACTTAGTAAGGTACTAGAATTTATGGTAATTATCTCCAAGTTTTTTTGTATTATACTTAAGATTTTCTTGTATTGGATTTTTATTGTTTTTTTTTTTTTTTTTTTTTTTGAGAGAGGGGAAGGGAGAGAGAGAGAAACATTGATTGGCTGCCTCCTGAATGCCTCCTATTGGGGGTTAAGCTAGCAATCTGGGCATGTACCTTGACTAGAAATTGAACTGGCGACTTCTTGGTTCATGGGATGACGCTCAATCCAGCTATGCAGGCCAGGCTTGTATTGGATTTTTAAATTGTTTTTGTTAATGCTTACCTGAGGATATTTTTTCATTGATATTTTAGAGTGGGAGGGAGGGAGAGGGAAAAGGAGAGGGAGAAGGAGAGGGGGAAGAGAGAGAGAGAGAAAGAGCGAGAAATATCGACGTGAGAGAGAGAGACATTGATTGGTTGCCTCCCGCATGACCCCAAATGGGGCCGGGGATAAATCTGCAACCCAGGTATGTGCCTTTGGACAGGAATCAAACCCATGATCCTTTGGTCTGTGGGCCAATGCTCTAACTGCAAGCCAAGCTGGCCAGGGAAAATTTTAAAAATTATAAAATTTGTGAATATCATTATAAGGAGCCTGATAAAAATGGAGGTTAGTTTAGAGATTCATCTTCAAGAAGAAAGCAGGCAATGTTTAGCCTAGGGCACTTTGAGAAAAGTGCTCTGTAGCCAGGTAAGCTTTGCAAGGCATACACTCCGTTCTCTTGAGGTTTATAGTATATGTGAAGATAATTAGAAATGAAAAAGTAAAGCTGAATTGATTACTCAATAGGTAAGGGAGAGCTGTGTCATTCAAATGTGACTTCAGTCTTTCTGAATTAAAAAGGGAAGGGCTAGATCACCAATAAGGAAAGAACATTTTGCCCAAATGAAGTGGATCATGAGGCCTATCTATAAATTGCTTACTTTCCCTTTGAAGTTTAAATCACCATCACCCTTCCTCCTCAGCTCAAGGATGGTGTATACACTTCAACTGCCCCGTTTGTCTTCAGACCCCATAGCCTATGCAACCCTTGCATGGACATACATAATAAATTTGCACGTTTTCTGATGTTAATCTGTCTCATGTTAACTTAATTATTAGGTCAACCAGAAGAACTAAGAGGGGAAAGAGGAGAATTATTTTCCTTCCCCAACAGCCCCAGTTGCCTGACTGCCTGTGGGCCCCCCTATTCTTATGGAGATGTGGGATTACATTTTATTTCCCCCGTTAATCTATTTTATGCCAAGTTCATTCTTGCACCATTCAGAAAAAAGTAGGAGGCTAGAGGAGAAATACATCCCTCTCGTCAAAACCATTCTTTGAATGATGTGGCTCTTGTTAATAGTCATGTCCTTAGGGTCTCTCTCTGCTTTCCAGGGATGAGTTCCCCTGCTCAGCTCGAAGACAGCTCCTCTCGAGAAAAAATGACAGCTGAGATAACATTTTCACCTCAGTACACTTTGTTTTGATTTTGCCATTTTAATTCAATACTAAAAAGGCACAGTAATCCTTTTATAAAAATCATAGTTTTAAAAATCATATGTCTTTGCTGTTGGAAGAGGAACTTGTATAACAAACTGTGACTCATCATTATTGTGTAAAAGCCGGTTTCTGCTAGATGTCTGGCCTGAGGGCACGGTTATACCAGGAGCTTCATCACCTGCCTTGAGGGCCTTTACGTGCTCCTCATGCACCAGCTCCACACTGAATGTGACCTCCAGGCTGAGCTTTCCAGCAGGGAAGCGTTCATGGTTATGCTGGCTCTGAGATGTTACTGGTTTCCTAGCCACATGGCCCACCTAGACTGACGGATGGCAACTGACATAATCCAATAGGAAATTTTCATATGATATCCTCAAATTTTGGTATTATCCGGGAATAAACGCTGTGGAAAAAAGGGGGCCACATGCAAACTTGACAAGTTCAGGGGAGGCCTGCATGACAGCCTTGCAACCTCCAAGAACTAAAGTGACCACGAAGCTGGTCTGAAATGAAAACTTTTTAACTAACAGCAGTTTATGGCAGGTAGTCATGTCCTAGGCAGGCATCTTCCCTGACAAAGGTCAGTCTTTACCTTAACTGAGCCTGTCTGTTGTCTTTTTGCATTTACGATAATGTATCTTTGAAGTATCAAAATAATTTTCCTTTCAGACCCCTCAAAGCACAGGCACCACTCTGCAGAGACCACAAATCCTCTCATTGTTACTGAGTTCACTGTGGCCTGTTAACTATGCTGTCCCCACCTATGTAAAAGATGTGTGTCTATCATTTTACTTTTCTCCCAATCCCAGAAGTTCCCTAATCTACCACCAGTGGATCCATACAGCTCACTTGTGTCTTCTCTTTTGGTTGTAACATAAAATAAGGTGCAAAACTACCATTCTCTGGAGCATCATCTCAATCCGATGAGATTTTTGCCTACCATCAATTGTTGACAGTTTTGGCTAAAATGAACTCACAAAAATTCTTCACAGGTTTAAATGTTTCTTACATTGACAACACCTTTAGGTTTATCTAAAAAATTGTTTTATGTCAAGGTGGACATGCACTTATTGAGACATTACCAGACAAAAAAAGAATAATTTCAAGTACTTTTGAAATTGATCGGAGACTTTACCTATTATGAAGAAAATAAGTACTCAGAAAATGAGGTGTGGGATGCCTTATACTTTTGACAAGGAGATGAGGCAAAAGGGATTAGTATAAACAAAGGATGAGACAGGATTTCTTATATTTAAAAAATAATGTTACTGACAGTTGTCCCTGACTTTAGCGGTTTCTACTTGCAGCGTACACTTGAGCAAGCCCGCAGTTCTACCTCATGCCTCTGAGGTATTCTGGGATTTCCTTGGTAGGTAATCAGGTCACATGTCCTCTTCAGGGAGAATTTATGATTCATTTATAGGTAACTAATTCTTATAGGGAACCCTAACCATCATAGTTTGCTTTCACCTCTTTATGTTCTTCACAGTCCTCGTTCACATTTAATTTGGGGTCTGCATTAGCTTTATTTTGCTGTTTTGCATGTTTACTCTGCACGATGAGTCTTTGCCTCAGGGCTTCTTTTACCTCCTTGTTTCTAATTGTGTAAATAAAAGGGTTCAGAAGGGGTGTGAGGATAGTATTTAGCACTGACACCACCTCACTGATTTTAAAGGAGGAGTGTGCGGTGGGTCTCAGATACATAAACAAAACAGCGCCATAAAACAGAGCGACAACTGTCAGGTGAGGCACAGAGAAAGCCCCCTGGCGGCCAGAGGCGGAAGGAGTCTGTAGGATGGTAGACCGAACAGAGGCATAAGAAATCACAGTGACCCTGGGATTACCAGGACGGTTGCCAAGGGACACAGAAGCTCCAAAATGCTGTGTCTCCACAGGCTGCTTTCAGATGGGACCAACCTCACAGTAGAAATGATCGATGACATTGTTGCCACAGAATGGCAACTGGATGAGCAGCAGCATCTGACAGAAAACAATGGTGAAGCCCACCGCCCAGGAGCCGAGGGCCAGTTGCAGGCAGAGGTTGCTGGTCATGATGGTGGGGTAGTGAAGGGGCTTGCAGATGGTAACGGTCACAGGACATGGCGGTGAGGATGAAGAGCTCGGTGGTGCCCAGGAAGCAGTGGAAGGACTGCAGCAGGCAGCAGCGGGGCCAGAGAGCTGTTCTTGCCACCACAAACGTTTCTCGCAGTTTCGGGGTGACCGTGGTGGTATACCAGATCTCTAGGAAGGGCAAGTTGCAAAGGAAGAAGTACATTGGAATTTGTAGTTTGGGCTCAGCCCAGACAATAATGAGCTCATTGCCCGCAAGGGTTTATATGTGGATGAAAACGACCACTGTAAAGATAGGGCTTTGTAGTCCTTGGATACCAGGGAAGCCTAGGAGGATGAGCTCTGTGATTGCTGTGCCATTTCTCATGTCCCTTGATATTCTAGAAAAACAGGAAAGTAGCCCTGGCCAGTTTGGCTCAGCGGTTAGAGCGTCAGCCTGCGGTCCGGAGAGACCCGGGTTCGGTTCCCGCTAAGGGCATGTACTTCAGTTGCAGTTTGTCCCCGGCCCTGGTTGGTCGTGTGGGTGGCAGCCACTCGATGTGTCCCTTCACATCGATGTTTCTCTCTCTCTCTCTCTTCCTCTCTCTCCCTCCTACTCTATCTGTACAAAAAATGGAAAAATGTCCTCGGGTGAGGATAAAAAAACAAAACAAAACGAAAAACAGGAAAGTAGCACCCTAGAATCTCACACTCAAATACAACTTAAACCCTCCCCCCTCACCCCCCCAAAAAGAGAGAAAGATTCTGATTCTGTTGAAGGTCCTTTGGGACACTGCACACGCACTCACTCCTTCCGTGTGGTTTGGCTCGTTCCTTTCCCTTGTTCCTTGAAGGGCTTTGAAAGTGCTGAGCACACTTTATGAATGGAAAAGGACTTCACGCCGTCCAGCAGTGAGGATTATCATTGTAATGTGATGGTTTCTCCGTTAGTGGTCCATAAGATGATTTAAAATAAACAGTGTATATAAAGGTATATACAACATAAGCCCAGGAGAGAGTTTATTGGAAGTTAATCCACATTCTCACATTAATTCTGAAAGAAAATGCTTGACTTATATTATAGATGTATTTAAGAAAGCTGGTTGCACACACACACACACGTGTATTTATGTTACTAAAAATAATTTCTGTTACATATTAGCAGTGAGATATAATTTACATAATAGAACAGATTTTTTTTTTCTGAAGAATCCACTTCCAAATTCAAATTCAGACTCATTTTTTAAAAGTAGACCAAAATATTCAAAGCTAAATGGATAAAATTGTTTAGCACATAGAACAATGTACTAAACTTGAATTAAAAATTCCAAGACAAGCTGAATCAGGACCTGATATATAGAAGTATCTAAAACATGTGTATTGGATAAAGATCTTAGACACCAACCTAAGAAAGTGAAAAGACTTCAGATGCCGAGGCTAACAGACTGGCTACCCTGGAAAGGGCATTTCTGCCCAGTCTCTCTTGGTGACCAAGTGTCTCCCTATGCCATTTTCCTCTTTGTGTATGCAAACTCCTAGGCTGAGAACTTTCTTCTGTTCCATTAGAATTTACTAGAAAATAGTAAAACTACCTCCTCTCTTCGTGTGCAGCTTTCAAGGTACCTGAGAAACCGCAGGGAAGAGGCAGCTCCCAGTTCACTGATATGTTGCCTAATTCTATCCCCACATGAGAGAACACTAGTTCTCTGAGAATTTAGGTTAGAAAAACAGTCATTCCCTCCCACTCTTTTCTAGATCAGGAAAAGATTATTCTTTTTCAGTAATGTCATAATCTCCAGTTCTTTTCCATGACACTAGGAGAGTCAGAGAAATATTTCTACTAGTGGGTAAGTAGCCATGAGCCTGGTCTCTCTCTATAGGGTAGATAGGGATTGATCTTCATTCCCACATAAGGAGAGTAGCCCAGTCTCTATGGTAAAAAGTGCCACCGGCTAAACATTTTACAACTTAGAATCAGGCCTAGCATTCCACAGGCCTTTGTTGAGAGTTTACTAAGCCCTGCTAGGCAGTTAGGGAGCTTATCATTTAGAGAGGGAGATACATTGTGTACAATAATCACAACATAGCCCAGGGCGTGCTAGCATACAGCTGTGCAGATTGTCTTGGAAAGTCCTGGAAGGGTCCCCTTACCAGCCTGGGGAGGGGTTAAAAAAGGTTTTTCAGAGCCCTGGCCAGTTTGCTCAGTGGTTAGAGCATCGGCCTGCAGTCCAGAGAGACCCAGGTTCGGTTCCTGCTAAGGGCATGTACCTCGGTTGCAGTTTGTCCCCAGCCCTGGTTGGGTCATGTGGGTGGCAACCACTCGATGTGTCCTTTTCATGTCGATGTTTCTTTCTCTCTCTCTCCCACTCTATCTGAACAAAATATCAAAAAATGTCCTCGGGTGAGGCTAAGGGAAAAAAAAGAAGGTTTTCCAGAGAAGGAGGTGCCTGAGAGGAGTCCTGGAGGAGTTCATCAGAAGAGCGTGGGTAGGGAGGGAACTGCCTTCCAGACAGGGACCCAGTGTTTGTGAAATAGAACCAGGGCAGGGAGCCAGCTTGAGCTGGAGATGGGAGTTCAGGCACTTCTGATACACTAACAGGTCTCCTGTGAGTTAGCCCGCGTGATGAACTCCCGAGGAGTTTGGAGGGGAGAATCTTGGGTAAGGGAGTTTGCTCACATGGGACACGTGTGCGTGGGCGCATGTGTGGGGTAGGTGCCCTGACAGCCTTCTTCGCTAACACGTGTGCAGGCTTGTCTGAGCTGTATGGAGGCATGTGCTGCAGGCGTGACTGAGGGAACCCTGCTGAGATCCTGCTCACACACAGCACCGCTGTGGTACCGGTGACAAAGTGGGCAGCGGACAGGGAGATACAGGTCCTCTCCATTTTGTAAGCAGCATGGCCTGGCTCTGGCACCCTGAGGACCAAGAGCAGCGGTGCCGGTGAGAGCTGTGCCCAGCAGAGGGCGTGCGGAGCAGCCCCGGGAACCACGCAGTTGCTGCCTGGACAGCTGGCTGCATGGGGTTGAGGCGCATGCGAAGTTTGATGAGACTTGGAGGGAGGTCAGATAGCTCAAGGTAGCAGGTGAAAACAATATTCAGAGCAACTCAGGAAAGTAACCTTAGAAAACTAAGATTGTAGGGCATTTGGGATGAACAAATCCATATTCTTATTAAAATTTAATTGTATACTCTATTCTCTTTTTGTTTCTTTTAGAAAAGTCACAATGTATAGTCACACACTGTTCCTTTTCACTTCCCCACTTCAATCCTGTCCGTTACCTCCTCATTCTCCAGTCTGTTCCCTTCTTCCCGTCTCTCTTGGCTGCTTTAGTTCATGCCATCATCTTCATCAGGGTCAGAACACAGCCTCCTGAACGGATTTCCTGTCCTCTGACTGCCATACAATTTCTTATCCACATTTCATCCTAATACAATTCTGACCACAGACACTGAGGGTAAAGTGCAACCTCCCTGGCATGACATTTCAGGTCATTGCTGATCTGACCTTACCTGTCTAATCTTCCAGCCCAATCTTCTGCCGTTTTTTCCTTCTTCCTTCCCCATTCTATGCTCCATACTTACTGAACTCAGGTTCAGAGGTTGGCAAACCATGACCCTGTTTTTGTAAATAAAGTTTTCCTAGAACACAAGCACACTAATTTGTTCACGTATTGTCTGTTGCTGCTTTTGTGACAATTTCAGAGCCGAGTAGTTCCAACAGAGACCCCATAGCCCCAGGAGCTCAGGATACTGACTCCCCTTTGCCTGGAAGACCCTTCCTCATTCTTTCCATTATTTGGCTGAGTCTGATCCGACTTCCAGGTCTCAGATGAGGAGCCAAGTCCTGGGAAGCCTCCTCTGACTTCCCATCTCCAGAGCAGTTAAGGTGCAGTTCCTACATGCTTTCGTAACACTGTCCACGTCCACGTGGGTACCCTTAGAGAACCGCCTTCACCTTAACTCTGTCCACGTCCACGTGGGTACCCCTAGAAAACCGCGTTCACCGTAACTCTGTCCGCGTCCACGTGGGTACCCCTAGAGAACCGCCTTCACCGTAACTCTGTCCGCGTCCACGTGGGTACCCTTAGAGAACCGCCTTCACCGTAACTCTGTCCGCGTCCACGTGGGTACCCCTAGAAAACCGCCTTCACCGTAACACTGTCCGCGTCCACGTGGGTACCCCTAGAGAACCGCCTTCACCGTAACACTGTCCGCGTCCACGTAGGTACCCTTAGAGAACCGCCTTCACCGTAACTCTGTCCGCGTCCACGTGGGTACCCCTAGAGAACCGCGTTCACCGTAACTCTGTCCGCGTCCACGTGGGTACCCTTAGAGAACCGCGTTCACTGTTCGCTTGGCTTCCTCTGTAAACTCTGAGGCCCTTGAAGGCAGCAACAACGTCTGTAAGGCATAAGCATAGGGCTGGGCACAAAGTAAGTCTTCAAAAGATATTTTCTGAATGTTTATGTAAGTGGATCGTTTGTTAACATGGATTCCCCTGTTACCTATAAGTTTATGTAGACAGATACATGTATATGTTTACAAAATACTATTATCTATTATATTCAAATGGTGAAGACTTATTATAGAGACCATTTGCTGAATAATGTGTCTCCAAGTTGGCTGCTGCTTCCAGCTCTTTTCTATGCAAACTTTCTTCTCCACCTCTGCTTCGTCTGTCTTTCCTGAATCGGGGATATGTGTTTCCTCCTGTGTTCCAGCTCTTCTCCCCCTTCTCCAGACAGCCCCAAGTCCAGAGAGCTTTCTCAGCAATTTCAGTGCTCAGGGGAGTGAGATGCAGTTGACTCGTTTTCTTATGAGCTATGTTGATACAATCGATCATCCTTCATTTTTCTTAAACTTTTCATATTCTCAAAAGAAGAAAAGCATTAGCATATTTTTTCCCCTGAATTTGGGCTAAAAGTAACGTGTTTTGTTTTTTGTTTGTTTGCATATTCATTTTGTTTTTAATTGTTCATGGGGGCCAGTTTCAATCTTTCCGAACTTTAATGGTGTGGTAACTGTGGGGATGCCCAGCAGTGTCCAGTCTTAAAGCAGGCGCACCCAGAATACCAGCTGTCAGCTCCACAAAGGGACGGCATCAAGGATCACTGCCCGAAGGGCTGTGCTAACCTGAAAGCTGGACAGACAGCCAGCCTGACGTTCATCCCAGCACCGGCGGTTCAGGGTGAGGCACAGTGAACTGGGACAGCTTTCTTTTAGGAAGGCCCCTGTCCACGCCATTCTAATGACTTGTCTACATGAGGCCGAAATTCACTTATTGGACTGTATTTCAAGGCATCAGGGCCAGCCGTATCTATTTTCATTCTAGAGAAGAGCAAAACTTCACCCAAAATAATGTTCTTTCCCTCCCTGTGGCAAAGTGA